CATATGTGATGCCATTGTTATTATATAAAAATATTTTGGCAATCTGCTTTTTTGGCTTTTTCTTTTCTTTTTTTTTTTTTTTACTTAATAATATATCTTGGGCATTTTTCCCTGTCAGTTCATGCAAATATATTCATTTTTAATGAATGCACTATATTCTATTATGTTGATATACAGTGATTTATTTAACTAGTTTTGTATGCATAGACTTCTGGGTATTTATCTGATACATCTCAATGATAAACTCTCAGAAATGCAATTGCTTAGTCAAGTGACATGAACACTTATATTTTAATAGAATATTCCAAATTGCCCCCCAGGGACATTGTACATATTCCCACCGAAGGTGTATGTGTGTGGGGTGCTCACTCCTATAATCTCAGTAATTGGGCTACAGACACAGTTTTTCCTTATGCATGATAGTTTGTTGTGTATGCTATAAAAGTCAGCTTGTCTTACTATAAGTAAAATTGTAATGGCTGCCTGGAACTTCACCATGTCGATTCACAAGGGCTGTGTTCACTACATCCATATCTGATTACAGAGGTGGGTTTTCAGGTGGCTTGTGCTATTTCAGGATAAATGTTAGTGTGAAGATTTTTCTTCTCATTGGCTTATTTGGGGAGGGGATGCTTAGAGTCTCAGAAGTGGAACCATTAGGTACAAATGGTCTGTGGCCATTGAGACCTATTTTCTAACCACTTCCCTAAGGGTGTACATGTGGACATCCTCTCTGCACATCTTTACTGAGCATCTTCTGACACTGTCCTGGGCTTGGGGATACATCAGCAAGCACGACCAAGACCCTCAKAAAGCTGCCCCTCTGGCAGCTGAGATAGGAGGCACACCCAGATAGTTAATCCCTCAGTCTCCATGGGGGATTCCCTCTAGGACCCCCGAAATCCCAGGATGCTCAAATCCTGTACATAAAACGGCTCAGTATTTGTCTAGACCCTTCACACATTCTCCTCTAGAYTTTAAATCATCTCTTGGTTACTTTTAATACCTAATGCAACAAGTGCTATGCACCCAGTTAGAGGTGGACACAATGTCTTTATTTGACTTTATGTGGTACTGAGGATGGAACCCAGGGCCTCACACATGCTAGGCGAGTGCTCTACCACTGAGCCCCAGCCCCAGCCCGAGAGGGATTGTTAAGACTGTTATTTTAGTGATGTGGAAACAGGTCAAGAGYCTCAGCTGGTCCCTCCTGCTAGTGGGAACTGGGCCAGGACTAGAGATGGACTTCAGAGTCTGAGTTGGCTTGTCCATCGCATCCTGCAGCATCTTCAAAAGAGCTCCACCTGCTGGCTCCTTTCCATAGCGCAGTCCACTGCCAGCATCCAGGGCCCTGCCCTTTGAGGGTCAGGAAGTGCCCRTGGTCTTCCAATCCATCTTTCAGGACCAGAGCCAGGGTGTCCTGCTGCAGCTCACATCTCGGCTGCCAGCGGCACCCCAGACATTTTTCCAGCCCCGCCCCAGAATGTCTCGCAGGTGGCAGGTGCCCCAGGTGAGCGAGCTCCGGCTTGCCAGAGGCACGGGCTGTTCCTGCTGGTGATCAGTCACCTGGAGGGGTTCCGAATCCTTCTCCACACCCACACAGGGATCAGGCCGCCTGGGTGGTTCTCAGCGAGGGCGATTTTGGTCCCCGAGGACAAATGTCATGTCTGAAGACGTTTTTGGTTATTCCAACTGGGTGTGTGCGTGGGTGGGGGGCCGTTCCTGGCATCCAGTGGGAAGAGTCCAAAGATGGCGCTAAACACCCTACAGTGCCCAGGACAACCCCTGGTCGACAATGATCCCTTAAATATGTCAATCATGCTGAACTCGAGAACCCTTGGGTTACAACCAGAATCGACAGAGATAGCTTTATCAAAAATTCTTGAAACATGAGAGAGGAGAAGATGGAGAGAGAAAGAGAGAGAGAGAGAGAGAGAGAG